GTGTGTGTGTGTGTGTTTTGTGCCTTCAAGTAATTTTTGACTTATGGAGACCCTAAGGCAAATCTATTATGCATTTTCTTGGCAAGATTTGTTCAGAGGAAGTTTGCCATTGTCTTCCCCTGAGGCTGAGAGCATGTGACTTGCCCAAGATCACCCAGTGGGTTTCATGGCTGAGCTGGGAATCAAACCCTGGTCTCCAGAGTTGTAGTTGAACACTCAAACCACTACGTCACTTTGCCGTCCATTATTTACACAAGGGCTGGAGGGGTTCTTTGGTTGAATAGTATAATAATGTGAATCCATAGTAATAGCCACGCTGATCTGGAAGCGGGGAAGACAAAGCATGGACTTTGGAATGGGAGGGGGTCAGGAGGAGCAGCCTTGAGCCTCACAAAGATTAGGCAAGGGGGGATTGAGCCCCCCTATGAAATGATTTGCAAGAAATGGAGCACTTATTCTTGTAGCGGAGTCTCACACATTATCAATCGGAGGCATACTAATTGATTAAGCACTAAGGAGCATTAAGATGTCTGTTGTTGTTGACCCGTTCCAGGAATAATAAATGCAGCCAGCAATCTGTTCTGTGCGCACTTACTTGGGAGTAAGCTACTCCGAATACATGAAGGGCACTTCTAAGCATACATTGTGCTTGTAAGATTTCATATTTAAAGATGTTTCAGTGGTGATGGGTGGGGCAAGAATTTGCTTTCCCCTTCAATCCTTTCAGGTAAAAAAATTAATAATATTACTGTTAATTATTGTTTTTATTAATTATTAATAGCAATTACTTAACCAATGTTGCCCCCTGCACTTAAAAACAGTGTTGATGCCCATGGGACAGAGCCCCTGCATCCATATAAAAACTTAGCCACTCTGCAGTCTTATGTGAAGCAAATCCAAAAATACATAATCTTTGGCTTTTTGTTAACTTGGGACTGTGCAACCATCATGACAAAAATTTGTTCAAGGATTGCCTTGAACCAAATGTATGACAAAACTCAGAAAATCTATTTAACACACAGGTGCATTACTCTAAGAGCACTTAGCTCTCTCATATCAGCTCCGCCTGATGAGCTTAAGCTCTGGAAAAGTGAAATTGGTAAAAGATCATTAAGATCTACCACAGAGCAAGAAAGATTTTATTATGCTATTGGCAGAAAAGTTTGCTTGCTGGGTAAATCTTTTTTCTTTTTTTCTCTTTCTTACATTTTAGTAGATGTGCTTGTCAGAATGTGAGCAAGGAAAAAAAGTCTTTCAAGTTGGTTATCTTTTGAAATTTTGGATGATTCTTGTCTATTGCAAAAGGGAGGGAGATAACTGGTCCTCCTAGAGAAGGGAATTCCACAGCCTGGGAGTCACCACTGAGAAGGCTATCCATGGCTATTAATGAATTGCAGTTGCCCCTCCGTTTTAGCAGACTTGAAGTCTGTGGTCTTGATTATTCATAGAGGGACGATTCCCATTAGTTAAAATAGCATACATGCATACGGCACAAGCAAAGAGCCGTGCACAGGAGCACACGGCCATCCAAGCCAATGGGACTTGAATATCTGCGAATTTTGGTTTTTGCGGGGAGAGGGGTCTGGAACAGATTCCTCCACGAAAAAGGAGGGGTGACTGTAATCACTGTTAAAGGCTGCATGCCAAACTATTTAATGCATTTATTATGCTGATATTCCATGTGCTGAAATACTAATTAGGTTGGATTGATTTACCTATGCTTAGAATAGCACTGAAATCAATGGGACATAAGCCAATCACAGTTAATGTGTCTCAGTTATCTTACTGGTTCTATTGAAGCATGGCTAACTCTAGATCCAACTCTATGTTATCTACTGTACTGAAAACATTGGGTTACAGCAGTGCTTCTCCATTATTTTCTGTCATGCCCCCCCTAGGAAGAAGAAAACATTTCGCGCGACTGTAAATAGTCACACGGGCGGTTTGGCCAATCAGGATAGAGCATGTCAGGCTGCACTGGGACAATCTCCAGTGTTCGCGCCCCCCTTTACGGAGCCTCGCGCCCCCCCTGGGGGGCACGCCCCACTATTTGAGAAGCACTGGGTTACAGTGAGGAGTTGCCCTGTGTCCCCCAAACTCTGTTTTCTTGCTATGTTTTTTTGTTGTTGTTTCATACCTTATTGAGAACTCGTCTGACGGGAACTGCTAGGCTCAAAGATGATATGTAAACATATGAAGCAAATTTATGAAATCTAAGCCTGGAAAAGAAAACAGGAAAAGAAGATTTTTCTTCTGCTTACTAACACCTGCCTAGAAGTGTAGGTATATATAATCAGTAGCATCCCATCTGTTGTTCCTTGTCCATTCCTTGTTCTGTTCTGCAGTGATCAGGGGTAAAGAAAAATAACATACAGTGGCTTGAATTAGATGTTTCTCTTCCGATTTTTGCTCTTGGTTGCCATTTGCAGCCCTGCTCTTTATATACCTGATTGTATAAATGAACTTATATTTTCTCTATAACTATCCTCCACCTCAGTATGTATTCCCCAGTGTACTTGCACTTTCCGTTGTGCTAGCTAGCGCTTGCCTTTCTTGCCCTCAAGGGCCTCTGCTTTTGCTAACTCATTGGGCAATTAGTTCTGTAAA